TATACAGAGCACCAATACTACACGTTACCGAACTATACAATAATCAATAATGTAATAGCTCTATAAAAAACTAAAACATCCACCCCCTTAATTCCGCACGGTGCTCCCCATGTGCGGCGAAACGTGGTGTCCTTTACGCTGAGGACCGGGCCGCCTTTTACTCACATTGAAAATACAGACCGGCTAAGTGACTTTGAGTAAACAGTCCCAAAGCCTTAATACAATAAGGTAAGTAACACTATAGAGTATCCATACCTGCACCCCAGGTTCTCTGATCGTTAGCCCTACAGATTGTGGCCAAACACATTCGATCGTATACAATGTAATCAGCATAATCAAACTCTCCACCCCCGCACCCACACTTAACGCACATTCCGTCACAAACCCACACACAATCACACATACACACACACACACACACACACACACACACACACACACACACCTGGCAGTGCTGGCAGGATCTGTGGCGAGTCAATCTTCACCATCGTGTTGGTCCAAGGAGGCAGCGGAAGTGGGACTGCATTTAGTTTGTTCGACTGAATTCAGTTATGTTGAATACTGAAATCAGTTCCCCTTCTAATTGAATGTCAAACGACAACGAAGATGGTGGGCTGTGTGCTTGTTGTGCTTGCTTGTCCCTGCTGTGTCGTGCGACGCTCCATCACACACATACGCACACACACACACACACACACACACACACACACACACACACACACACACACACACACACACACACACACACACACACACACACACACACACACACACACTGCACACACACACAGGCCGACAAGGACGAAACGCACGTCGTGGTGGACTTGGACGACGATGTCGCCCTGCCCGCGCACACACATGTTGATGACGACCAACAGCAGGGACAACAGCACCAGCAACAACGACGGCAAGGACAACAAGGGCGGCAAGACAATGGATTTGGATTGGATGTCAACGGACTAACTGCAGCCGTCGGGACGCAGGTGAGGTGTTGGTGTGCGTGTGTGTATGTGTGCGAATATTTGCGTGCAGGTTGCTGTCAACAAGCATGTACTCTCGCGTGTGCTGGTGTGTCTGATGCGCGCATGTGCTGGTGTGCGAGCGTGCATATACGCTGATGTCCTTCTCATCATTGGCACACGTGATGCATGTGGCGTGACATTGTGGCGTCTTGACTGGGGTTTCAAGGTACTGAAATCTGGCTCCGAGTCCGCATCGAGGCTTGTGTCAACATATGGTCGCATCGATTTGTTACGCCCTTACTTCGACCTTGACCCAAAGGACTTGCGCCAGCGCCTGCTTGCCTCCATCTGGCCACGCTTTGCCCGGCAGCCTCAGGTGGGTGGCAAGTTGGGCTGAAGATGGGTGGGATTCTGGAGTCTGGGTGGCATGCGCTCGTAGTACCTGCGTGGTAGCTGCATGAAGATGTGTTCCTGCTCCACTACCCTCACACGCACGCACACGCACACGCACACACACTCACGCACATGCACATGCACATGCACATGCACATGCACACGCGCATGCACACCCGCACGCACACATGCATTTGTTCCTCGCGTTGCCTGTTCGTGGTTGGAATCCAGGCCATTGCAACAGACCTGTACGGCCCGATGATGCTTGCGCTGACGTTGTCTGCTGTGCTGCTCCTCTCCATGAAGCAATCCGGCCACATTCTCAGGGTGCGCTGCACATCTTCTTTGCGCACAATCACCATCACCTGCCCCGCCCATTCTCGCCCATCATGTCCTTGTGCTTACCCATGTGCTGACTTGTGTGTGTGTGTGTGTGTGTGTGTGTGTGTGTGTGTGTGTGTGTGTGTGTGTGTGTGTGTGTGTGTGTGTGTGTGTGTGTGTG